AAGTCATATATATATACTACCATTCGTATAATTAATATCTAAGTGCTAAGAATATACCATGCAAGTACTATGACCAATAATCTTTATACGACCGGTATTTTGTTAACCTTTTGTTTGCAATGTGCAATTAAGCAAACGTACGATATAAATGAAGTACAAATTTGCAGGTTAAAGTTATTGTGTTGGCCAAATTGAGTGCAAGCAATCGTAGCACGCTCCCAAACTGATTGGTCAGAACTTTTAAATTATTTACTTAATTTGAGTCAATTTAAGAGTAAACAGACATGAGCTTATTATGAATAGGTATGATCTGCATTGTTTTGTTTTCTTACTAACATCTAATATTTCGGCTAGTAATATGCATATATGAGATAGAGTGATGTAGTTTACATTACAAAAAACTGTTATAACTGTGAAATAAAAGTGAAAATAGGCGACGTTGCCTTACATAAACAGCAGGAATTTACTAAAATGGGTTTCAGTAAGGAATAAGGGTAAAAATGACGAAGTTTCAAAAAATCTTCCGTATTCGGGTCAGAAAATAAAACTGTTTGTACTTGGTTTATTGTGTTGATGTAGCAGTTGTGTATGTTGATAAACGGTAGCCACAGTCTGCTAATCTCCAAACCTATCTCTGTTAAGTGAAGGCTTAGTGTAATTATGTAGAAAGTCGTCTGGTTTTCCAAAACTTGTCCGTATCAATGAACCTTAATCGTTTCAACTGAAAATAATATGTCCAGTTAGAAAAGCGCATTCTGCAACGGCAGTTTTGTGTTTTCATTAGTTTCTTACACTGTCTTTGTGTTATTACATTCTTACATCAAATTGTCGTCCTGTCTTCCCAGCCTAGGTATCTTTATAAGAAACAGAGGATTTAATAGATGATGTTTTTGTGCTTGCCGTCTGTCGTATTTTGTTTTTATTTGTGCTAGCATGGATCAAAACTGGTCAATTAAATGATCCACCCACACACCTTGGGAAAATGTACAAAAACTGGTCAATTAAATGATCCACCCACACACCTTGGAAAAATGTACAAAAACTGGTCAATTAAATGATCTACCCACACACCTTGGGAAAAATGTACAAAAAGCAAATTTCCCCCTACCCATAACACGTCTGGTAAGATATTAAATAAAATACATGTTGATATCAGGCTTACGTTTCCACAGCAAATACATAAACTAAGAGTTGATATATATATCTATCTTACTATCCACAAGTTATAAAGATGTAGGTTTACGATGGAAATTATCTTAACTCCTTACACCTTTACCTTAGATTAACCCTCTGATGGACTTAAGTTCAAAATTAAGATCAAAGTCTTAAAATGCGCAACAGTTATCATTACGTGAAACTTCTAGAATGAGCACAGGATATAATCATACGCTATGCTTATATGACGTCAGCAAAGACATCTGTCACGAAACATTGCTAGCTATCTACACTTACTTATCACTGAAACTATAGCAATACCGGGAAAGAAAAACAAAAAGAAAGTAATACATATAGAAATAAGCCTTTAACGAAAATTACGGACGGCCTAATACCAACAACTTATATACAACATTTTTGTAGTTACGCATCACTTAACACAGTAGTACAAAAATGAAAGTCCTAATCAATGATAATACAATATCTAGTTGTATAAACTAAGTTCAGAATTACACCATAATTAGCTACAATACAAATGAGAACTATGAACAAGATCGTAAAACCCTTTACAGATCTTTTTCAACGTACAAAAACAGAGCAATATAGAATTAAATCACACGTAAACCATCATAAACATGAAACAAATTAACATATCGAAACAAAACTCACGATGTACATAAAATAATAACTAGCTGATCGCACACAACATGATAAGATTAAACGAATCAGTACTAAAAACGATTAACATGAATGACACTCATTTTGACTCGACCGAGAGCACAATGTAGTCATTGAGACGCCATTTTGTCTTGGTGACATGAAACTTGCTCTTGAAAAGCTTCAGTGCAGAGAAAGGGTATTCGCAAGAGCAGGATATGACTGCCAGGGTCAGAACAAGCAATAATGAGCGGCTAAGTTTAGATGCATTACTATGATCCCCTCTTTATTCTATGCAAGTAAATTTGATGAATATTTTCTAATCTGAGAGGCTGAAAGACTTTTGCAACTGATCAAGCAAACAGCTTGTACCCATAAAAAAAGGTTCACGGTTGAAATTATTAACATAGAATACGCCCAAGGCTTGCAAAACATGAGTTTGCTATGCGTTTGGAGGCAGTAGAAAGCATTAGATATTAGGTGAATTTAGTATAAAATCCAATACTTTATTAAAGGACTTTACGACTCAGCAAAGATTTTTGTCAGTTAACATGACTTAAATTTTAAAATGTGTATCCAATTAAGAAACCTTTGTAGTGTGTAGTTCTGAGTAAAGAACATCAGTAGTGTATGTTTACAACAGCAAAATGCTCTTTAAAAGTTTCACATTTTCTCATGCTTATAAATTGTTAAGCTAACACTTGAGCTGGGTTTTTAAAAAAATTAGGGTCTAACGCCACTGACTAGTCAAACGTTAGAAATATCCAATTAAAGCGATTTGATAGCATTCCTCAAGAACGCAATTTGTCATAAAACACAGCGGTCTCGCTAACTCATGATGACCTCTCGATGTGAATTTCTGCATACGGTAAGAGGACCTCCCAGGGAAGATTCTGTCTGTTCAGTTTATTTCCTCTGGTTTCCAAAATTCCACCCATGTGTTTGCCATGCGTAGCAACCCGTGAAAGGGAAAAGAGGTTGTTTGATTTAGTTCCAATGTCGCGCAAAGCTAGCCATCCCTAATCGAGCAAGGAAAGACTAGAGGGAAAGCAGCACCCACCGTCCACTCTTGGGCTACTCTTTTACCAATGAATAGTGGAATTGACTGTCACATTATAATGCCCACACGGGTGAAAGGGCGAGTATATTTGATTGGACAGAGATTCGAACCTGCGATTCTCAAATTGCTAGTCGAGTGCCCTAACCACCTGGCCATGCCAGGCCCGGGAAGGAGAGGATCCTAGTAGTTGAATGATGTCAACTTTGACCTTGAATTCCTGTAGATGGATGCCCTGAGAATGGCTCCCAGGGTCAGTCAGCTGGTCCTATAGGATTAGGGTCAACTGAGTGCCAGTGTTGGTCATCCTCAACAGGTGTTGTGGATGTTATGTCCAGTGCTGATGTTTGGGTATAATGCCTACAAAACTCTGACGTGGCTGCACTGTCCTAGTTTGACAGTGCAGCACGTCCCTTTACAGGACTCGATGGTGGATGAGCTCAATATGTTCTAGGTCTTTTCACTTTCTTATGAATTTTCAAAATCAGGAAAACAAAAAATAATCATTGGTAAATGACTACAGGCCGGCATGGCCTGGTGGTTAAGGCGCTCGACTCGCAATCTGAGG